GTCATGAACCAGATCCACATGAAGGTAACAAACTCTGGAGTTGCTGAATAATTATAATGCTAAGGATCTTTAAATTATCTTGGTGTCTTTGATTGTTTTATATATTCATATGCACTGAAAGTAAGTGGTTAGATTGCATATGCATTGCATATGAAAGTGGTTTAGTTCCTTGCCTTAAAATAATCTTTAATATATTCTATATCCATACTGAGAAAACTTTTCTGTTTCAGCATGCATATTTAATATGCATTATAAATAATATAGATTTCAGCCAGTGATCTGCAGCAGCTGAGTGACTCCTGAAGAAGATTATCTTGATTCTGCTGTGTGAAACAGAGCATCTCTAGGAGACCTATATATATTTTAGGTATAAAGTTATTGATTTTGATATCTTGAAATCATGATTATTTGATATACAGTTTTGATTACAGAGAGAACTCAAGAGTATGGCAAGAGAGCATGTTACTGTCAAATGAATGTATGTACCACTCTCCAGGGTAAAGGAGAGCTAACATAAGCTAGGTAATTTGTGTACTTAAATCTGGTTCTATGCAGTCCTTCTAAATTGGGTTATCTTCTGCAAAGCAGATATTGACTGTTTTGTGGTGCTTATATATAAAACTTTGGGTTATGGACATATTTGTCTTCTGGGGTGTGATGGCAAGCCCTGGCACCAAACCTGGTTTATAAATCCTCCTGAAATACTGACATATAATGTAGAAGGATATCCAAACCAAATCACTGCTCTTGTTATGACATCTTACTGCACTCTGCACCCTGAGAGCTGCTGCAGCCTGGAGCAGTGCTTGGAACCAGTCCAGGCCAAAAATGACTGACTAGTTAGCCCTGATAGACTCCTTGTTTTACTTGCCTATTTGCTGGAAACGTGGTGAAGAAACACAATGCTGTTCCCGTGTAAAGATCTGGCAGGATTTGCTGGTTTAGGTGCCTTGCCATGAAGGTGGCTCCTGGACCTAAACTAGTTTTGAAACCAATGGCCGTTTCTGTGCAGTTTGCTTCTGGATTAATAAGCTTGTTGGACTTGAGCTAGTTCTTGTGGTCAGGAAGACTTGTGCAGTAAAATAGTTGTAGTACTTCAAATTGTTTCCAGTTGACTTTGTACCTTAATCCAAAAATAGTTACATGATGTAATGGTTTTCATTCTGATGTTGTTCTGCTAAGACTCCTTTGTTAAATTCAGAGTAGCTTGTTACTACTTTATTTTTCATAGATCTAGAACTGAGGAGGTGATGATGAGCTGGTTGAGTGTTTGTGATTGATTTGGATTTCCAAAGATGACTATAATTAGTATGTAGGTTTTAAATTAAATGGAGGTACTATAAAGTGCATATTCAGTAGGTTTTGGTGAGTATCTTTTTTGTTGTTACTGCAATATAATTAGCCCTTATGAAATAGATTTCTTAAAATATAAAACTTTTACAGAAATGAAACTGCTTTTAGACAATTAAGGTGTCTTTTCATGATTTCTAATTGTTTGTATTCTCTAACATTGCAAGCCCTTGGTACTTGCTTGAGATGTATTTTGAGGCACAGGTAGCCTGATATGATTAAAACTTGCAGCATAAACCACTAAGCACTTTTTTTTTCTGCTTTTTGCAGCCTTTGTTGTCCATTCGTGCTTGGGATTGCAGAGTCAGTTCAGGTATTTATGAAGGAATTGCATTTCTTGAAGAACCTCCTCGGACTTGGTTCTTTGGTTTTGTTGACATTGTTTTTTGTGAACTAAAACAGAATAGGAGAAATGACACCTCTGAAGTGTTAACTGTTAGGGGCAATTGTGATTTGAGTGTGTAGGATTGTGTGATTTAAGTCAAGCACTTAAGCAATCCTTGAATTTAAAAATTTGAAACTTGTAGTGCTTGAGGAAGGGGAGTTGCTGGATTCTTTAAACTGCCTAGAAATATTGCGTTATAAGTCAGCTTCTGCAGAAGAAAAGAAGAAGAATTACTATGTGAACTGTGCAGCACTTGGTAGTAAGCTGAAGGTCTCAGTTGTCTGGTAGTTTCACGTAATGGCTGTTGTTACAATGTGTGCTAATGATTACATTTATAATGGCCAGTCTTCGCGAGCGAAGATCCGGGGAAGGTCTTTACACCTTCCAGCCTGCGCATTGGATTTTTTAGGTGAGACACAGTGTGCGCGGAACTGAGCCCACCCTTTAATCCTAAGGTTCATCTGCCGGGGCCAAGCGAGCTTGAACGGTGGCAGCGAGGTCCTTAGGACGTAGGTGGGTTGCCTTTAAGGGCTAACGAGCCCCACCTGCCCGGGAGTGGCCCTGACTGGGAATGGAACCCGGGTCTCGGCAGTGATAGCGCCGCGCCCTTACCACTAGACCACCAGGGGCTCCGATTACATTTATACTATACTATAAAATCTATAGTATATTTGTGTTACAATATTTGGGATATTCTTCATGAGCCACAGTGCATTGTCAAAGAAATCTAAAAGCTAAGGGGAATTGTTATCATGAACTACTAAGAAGAAACAGATTTCCAATTTGTATATGTGCTGGTTTACTTGTATTTATTACAATAGTACATATGAGAAGCCCTCTAGATGGAAGAGCTGACACTGGAACCTGAAAATCTGGAGGTTTTGAACTAGGACAGTGGAAATGGAGACCTATTTTTCAAGGGATTTGCTTGGTGCTCTGTGGAGGTGTATCAGGTGATATGTGGCTATTGATTTGCTGTTTTGTTATACCGTGTGAGGTATAACAGGGTGTGTGCAGGACTGAACTGTCACTGAACTAGAGAAGGCACTAACCACTTGCAGTAAGGTGAGCAAGGAGAAATGGCTTTGCCATGTTACAGGAGAATGTGGGAAAGGAAGAGTCAAAACTCCAAAGAGTTGAATAGCAATGAGCCATTTCAGAAGGGAGTGGGGAAAAAGTGCAAAAGACTGTTTATGTGTATAAAATTAATGCAATATCTTCAATGGCTGCTCTTTGTACTAGTAGGACTGTGTTGGTGTCTCAGTGTGTGGGTGTGGAGTTTCTCTCTTAATACCTAAAAGTAGCTAACCATGTTAAGTTAGTTCTTGCCTATAAGCAAGTTTTTGGTTTTGTAAAACATACATACTTAATTAAGCTTAGGCTTGAATGACTTTGTTTAGACATGTAAACCACATTGGAATTCAAAACAACTTTAAGCATATAAATTGATCATGAATATAGAAGTATCCAAGGGCCATACTGTTTCTTGAACTTAGTGCTGCAAGAAGGATGACAGGCTAATCTTGATAACATTTGGTCAAAATAGATTACTGACTTAGTTGCGGAGATGTACTTATTAAAAAACGTTAAAATCCTGCTTCATGATTGTCTGTGCAAGTTCTTAGGATTTTTTTCTTTTGGTTTTGCTCTGTTTGGAGTGTGAGACCAATGCTGTAGTGGTAAAACAAAACTGTTGTGACTTTACAGAAGCAATAATTCAAATGTGAAATGTGTGGCCATTACAGGAGGTTATGAACTCTCATATACTTGAGTATATAGCAAATTCTTATTTAAGAGAAGGTATTTAAGAGAGGCCTCCAGAAAGAAACTTGAAATTTGGTGGCAAGTTAATGTTTCTTTCTGGGATTAACTTTGGCAAAGTTCAGAAAAAGTCACTAAAACAGAAGAAAAAAATGGTTAATAAGGATGCTTGTCCTTTTGATACATGTTTATTATATTTACCTGACTACTTATTTCTCATTGTATTGTTCAAAATAGTGTCTGACTGTTGCTTTTCAGTGTTTCTAGATAATTTTTTTTTCTGGCCTTACACTATTGTCTCATTCAGAAAAAGTATGCAGGTTACTTTACTTGTAACTAGTTTGTCATACTTGACAGCCTTCATACTACTTGCAAATTAAATTCCTTTTCACAAAGAATGAAATTTCATGTTTATAAACAAAAAAATATTTTGTTTCTCATATGTCAATACTCATCTTCTAAAAGAACACCATTTTTAGACAATGTATTTTTAGTTTCAAATGCTGAAGATGTTATCAAATAGTTCATAAAATAGCTTTTAAAATTGGTAAGCATTGGAAATATCTAATTGTCATTCTAAACAAGTCTTACTGACATAGCTAATAATCTTACACAGTTTAGGCAATGGCATGCTTTCTTAAATACATACTGAAAGGGAGCTTACAAAAAGCAGAATGAGATAAAACTGGTTGGTTGGTTTCTTGGTTGTGTGTATTTTACTACAAAGTATTCTGAACTCCGAAAGCATGTTCAAGACCAACCTAATTAAACTTTTGTAACTTTTCTTAAAGTGTGCATGTAAGTTGTACGTAGACTTTTAACTTCAAAGCTAACTATTTTATTGTTCCTGGTAAAACGTTGGAAATGTTTGTCCCTTTTGTATTTAACTAAAAATATTTGGCAAATGCATATAAATAAGGATACAATGGATTAGGAATCAAACATGAGGCTGCTTAAATAATTCTCAGGATTTTCTGGTTCGCATGTAGCGATATTGAACTCTTTAGTCATAGGCTTTAATTTGTGCATGGTGCTGACCTGATGCTGTGCAGGGACACTCATTGCATCCCTTCATTCAATTCACTCTAATTATCCCCAACTTCCTGGGGAGCCTGCTTAGAATTGGTCATGAATGTTTGTTATTAAGTATTAAGATATTGGACTACCCTGGTTACATGTAACAAAGTAGTTTTTGTCTGAATTTACATATAGATGATCAGTATAGGAAGCTGAAATTATATTTCTCATGATTTTATTTAATCAAATTCAAAATAATATATTGGAATAATAAAACATTTTGACAGTGACTTAAGCTCAGAGTTAAATGAAATGAGATTTATTGTGTGAGTACTTGTATGTCAGTGTTGGTAATTTCAGTGTGTATTTTAGAGTGGTTACGGTATGTAAATTATCTTTGAAACAATCAGATTTGTGTGCATGTAACTGGGTGATGGTAATTATTTTTGCTGGGAGCATCTGTTAATGCAGACTATTGCCTCTTCAGGTTCATGTGAAAATGGCGGACGAATCTGTCTGTGTTGGCCCAGCTCCCACCAGCAAAAGCTACCTCAACATGGATGCCATCATGGAAGTCATTAGGAAAACCAGGGCCCAAGCTGTGAGTCTGAATGAGTCTATCTGCTGCAGCTGTTTCATATATAGAAAGCAGAAAAGCCAGAGTTTGGTTTTTTTTTTTTTTTTAAAGGTGTGGGGGGGGAAGTGATTGAATATGCTATTCCAGTTAGTTCATGTCACATGAGTTAAATGTGTCTGAAATCGCTACTGGAAATCAAAGGCTTTGTAGCATCTGGCAGCACTGGTCGCTGATCCTGCAGGTGGCTGCTGGATTCAGCTTTCACACCAGGGAGCAGCTTCAGTTCATTTCCAAATTTGCTGGGGGAAAAAAAAATCCCAATTAGTTTTGAGGGCTAACCCTTTATATGCCATAATGGCTTTTTTTAATGTTTTACAAAGTGTGTCCAGAAAGGCTTTTGCCTAAACTTAGTTTGAATTACTTTCTATGTTATATAAATGTTATTTGAAGGATGGTAAGGTAGATGGTACATCCTGTAATTGTTTTTGATTCAGAATGTTTACAAAATGCACATTAGCTTGCCTGTAAATGTGGGCTAGTCTGCCTTTCTTCCTCCAAATTGGCCAGAGATTCAAAGCTTAGCAGGAATCAGTTGGAAAAACTGATATGTAATTGTGTTCACATGCCTAATGTTCTTTGTTCTGTCAGTGAAATAAATGTATTATTTAGAGCTACTGTACACAAAGCATTTATTTAATAAAATTTGTTGTTTATATATGAGCAACACTAATTACCCTGGAACAGTTTGATCAGCATTGTAATTTCTTTCAAAGATGAAGTTTTGGTGCAGTGCTTTCAGGGGGCAAAAACTTTCCTGTAAAGAAAAAAATATTTTCTTCCCTTTGAGTTTCTTAATCTGGAACTCTGAATATGGAACGGAATATTGGCTCTTTTTAAAAGAGGAGAATAAAAGAGTTCATATTTTTTTGTATTAGAGTATTAGATCAAGAACCTTATGTGAATTGTGAGAAGTAAAATGAAAATTTTCCCATGCACATCTCAAGTCATTACAGAGGGTCTGTATTGGGATGTGTGTAGCCAACCGAGATGCTTGACTTAAACAGCTGAAGACCTTGTACTGTGCTCTCCAGCAAGGGTCCCTAGAGCTTGGAGTGATCTCTTATGACTATGGACCTATGCACCACTGTTGTGGTTAGCGCTGGAGATATTTTGGGATTAGGAGTACTTTATAGTGGTTATTGAGAAGAGCATGGATGAACATACAGGTGGAAATCTGCAATGGAGCTAAAAATTTAGACAGAAAGCAGATCACCAAAGTTCATTGCTCTTCAAACAGCCACTTTCTCCCTAGTTAAGTAAGGAATGTTTGCTTCAGAAATGGTAGCTCAACAGCTTGACTTAGGATAGATAAATCAGTTTCATAAGGTATTCCAGCTAATTAAATGCTTAGTGATCTACTTCACCTTCCCCAGTATCTGAAAAGGTACTGGCAAGTTTGGTGTCTGGTTTCAGAACTCAATCAACTTGAAATCTTTTTTTTTTTTTTTTGTCTTCCAAGGTACACCCAGGATATGGATTTCTTTCAGAAAATAAAGAATTTGCTAGACGTTTGGTAAGTTATTTCTATTTGCTTGGCTGTGACTGCTGCACTAGGTGGCATATATTCATTCCAAGGTATCTGAGGAATTGAGATAACTTAAAGCAGATCTAAAAGATACCATAAGATAGGAGATTTCAGTATGCTTTCTGTGCATGTGGACTTCTTGCACTCTGAGGGTGTAATTGCAGCTTGTGTCTTCTTTTGGGAAAAGAGGAGATGCCTGTTTGTAAGAACTTTATCCAGGATGTAAGAACCTTTTGGCATTTTCACTTATGCCTATACTGTTTATGAGGCTGCTCTGCAAAACTGGGTCACTGAAATCATCGAGGTTAAAAGTATGTGGTTTTAAGTGATCATTTTGGCGATTCATAGCACAGCTGGTGAACAGCTGTATCAGCAGCCCTGAGAAGGTGCTGAACTGCACTTCAGGATGGGAATAGAAAGCTGTTTAAAAACTGGCTTCTCTGCTGGTGGTATTTTATCTTGGAGATGCATTCTCTGAAAGGCCCAAAGAGCCAAGAGGGTGCTGTTTTCACTTCATGTCTGAATTTATAAAAATTACTGTTCAAAACCTCTTTAGTTCAGTAGAGTTTTTATATATCACAAACTGATATATGACCTTTTTACTGATATGATTATTTTCCGAAAGCTTTCATGCAGCTGCTTATAAATTTGAGCATTGCTAGGAGAAAGTTACATGCACAATGTTTAAACAAAGTCCTGAGTGGATACTGTATGTGTAGTCACTGCAGGTCATGTATTACTGTCTATTGGCTTTGCTCAAAATAAGGACAAGCACATATTACATTGAAGTTTACAGTAAGAAGCCATTGCAGCTACCAGCTTTGTTACTGAGTAAACAAAGCATATAGCTGAAGAAACATCTTGTTTTACAGGCAGCAAGATAAATTTGTTTCTGGTTTTGAGAATGATTTGCACCTTTTTGATTCAGGGTTAAAAACTTAGATGAAGAAAGTGATTCTAAAGCAATAGCTCTTTTGTCTTTAGCATTTGTGGAACAGGTCTTGTTTCCACATATCTTCCTTAACTATGTCCCTTTTGGCTTGAGTTCTATCTGTAATACAGATCCTTACTATTTAGTTGATTGTTTGGTGTTAGAGAACACCTTCTGCTTATTAAGGAGCCTATTGAAGAATGAAATAAAAAAAATTTCATACTTCACAGTTACAGGAATTTGTTTTATTTTTTAAAGCCTCTAGATAAAAACAAGTGCAGATCCTATGAGATGCTGAATAATCCTGGCAGGTGCTGGTGATGTTTAAGTTGAAAGGAATTCTAAACACTTGGTGTTTGCCAGGATTTACCAAATCTGGGGTAATGTCTTACATGTTATTTTCAAGTTTAGCAGCTTTCTTTTATTGCTGTTCTGCTTTACGTACCAGAGGCTCTTTTACAGGGACGATTCCTGGCTTAATTTAGAGCAAACTCTGTTCTCACTGGATTAGACCAGCAGGATAACTGGCTTTAGTTGACAGTTCCTGTTTTTTAAATAACAAAAAAGTTAATGAAACAGAAGTGCTTGCATATGCTATTTTGCTTTTTATTTTACTGCCAAACTTTGAAATTTGGTAGTTATTACTCTGAACTGGGTGCATATCCTAGTAGTGAGGTTATTTGGTGATGTGACAGTCTGGAACACTTTTTTTTGGCAGGATTAAGAAGAAATGGAGGAAGTACAAACATTCTTGTAGATCCCCTCCCCCTTTATATTTCTCATCTTTTCACTTGGAATCTAGGAACAGTTTCTGAACAATTTCCTGAAATAATGTGGTGACTAGAAACGTGTTTGAGTTTGGGTTGGTGCTACAGTCTCAAAATAGCTTTAATTATATTTCAGAAACCTGGTGTGTTCAGTTCTCTAAAAATATACTAAAACAAGGTAATGCTACTTGGCTTTCTGAAATGCACTGTTTAAAGTCTCAAGACATAATTATGCGTCCCTTGTTGTCAGTTGCTCTAGAAGATCAGACCCCTGGTGAGAACTGGTGAAGTGATCTATCTTTTTATCACTCAGGCTGCTTATATTTTTTCAAGACATCCTGATTAATATAGTTAAGAAGAAAACTTTCCTGCTGTTTCTTTTCTTTAATAAAGAAGTAACAAATGTTTTTAAGCTGTTGTGAAGTCCCTTTCTTTGCGCATATACTATTTTGTTCTTTTCTACTGAAAGCAGCGATGCAAGTTGTGCAACCTGGGCTTATTTCCTCGCGTGCACCTGTACTTTTAAACCAAAGTACTTAAGTGCAGAAACCAGGAAGTAGGGTAAACTTTCTGAACTTGTCAGTCTATCTGTGAGAGCAGCAATGAGCTCAAAACAAAGCTTTGTCTTCATTTAACACATGGAGGGGCAGTTCACATGTAATCCCACTTGTGTGATTTGAACAAAAGCTTGTCTTTTTGTTCATTATTATCTGAATGATCTGTGGAATAGCATACAGCTATAGGCAGTACTTTTGAAGAATTTGATGGATACGTTTAGAGTATTGAAAATTGCTGGTATTTATTGTTCTTTATCAGAAGAGTAATCAGTGGATGAACATCTGGCATATTGTTCATTATGATCCAGTAAAAGAGTTGGTGCGTTCAGTTCACTCTTCATGTGTATTTATTTTGTTTGCTATTGATGGCTGACAGAAAAGAGATCCATGGCATTTATATTGAGTAAGACTGTCAAAGATTTCATAAACATTAAGATAAATTTCCTAAAGATTGGTGTTTGAACGTGGAATCTTGTGATGAACTTACAGTAATGCTCATAACACTTACGTAGAATGACAAAACATGGATTTGTGCAAATGTTTCTTAGAATCAGTGTGTAAGTCGGTACTTGTAGTTTATGCATGCAAATGTATTTTCATCTAAGTAATTTCTGTCGTTCAAGGAATAATGCATAATATTCAATACTATCATAAATGTAAAGGTGAAGCTAAAATCTTTTGCCACACTGAAAAAAAAAATTACCAGTATCTTTTTCCAGATGCTATGCAGAGCTGCAAGACCAATTCTCCTTCGTGCTTTAGAAGAATTTGCTAGTGATCTCTATATTTAGGTTAACTTGCTTATTGTTTCCTCTTATAAAATTAACTCAGACCCTTTCTGAGAAGTGCTGTCACCTCTGTTGTCTCTGGCAGGCCTTTGGAATTTGGGAAGGAGAAAGGCCTGAGACTAAGATGAGCCTTTTGGTTGAAAGGCCTGTAGTTGAAAGATACAGTTTTCTGAAATCGCCATTTTTCTTTTCTTGCTTGCAGATGTCCAGGGCAGCTGTTTTGGTGGGGGATGGGAGTGCTGAGTCAGATCTCTTCACCTCTTGAATAGTTTGGGATTGGCCCATGGTCACAGTGACCCTGTTTCCTTTTTTTTTATTTTTTAATCTGGTGGAGATACGAGTGAGAGAAAGGAAGTGTGTAACTGGGTTGCACAGTCATTATTCCAGAGTCAGTGCTGCTTCTTATGGTCTAGCTGATGTTAGCAGCAAGTAGTTGAGGTTATTTATGTTTGTGCTTCCTTGTAATGATTACAAAGGCGAACCATGATCCACGGTGACTTCGTGTGTCAGTTGGTCACAGTGGGATCAGTTTCTTTTTAATTAAATGAAAAGCGCAAATGAACTTCACTTTCCCAACTGCCATGAAAGTCTCTTGGGAAGCTACTGTTAAAAACAAAACAAACAAAAAATCAGCTAAATAATTCCTTTGCAAAGTCTATGAAAAAAACACCAGTTTTAAAGATCATAAATCTTCAGAGTATTTTAGTGTCTTGGACGCATGTATGTGATAGAGTTCCTGCTTTCATAAAAGGTGATGCATTGTGGTGTATTTTCTCCAGGAAAATTATTTAATATGTGCATAGAACAATCTCAAAATGATAAGAGTTAAAGCTAAAAATGTGACCTTTATCTGGAATATTCTTTTTTGAATGCAGCTGTGATAATGTTCTGATGTTCTGTTTCTTGACAAAAAAGTAGCCAGCTGCTACTCCCAAAATCTGCTCCTTGCAATAGAAGCCATAAACATGGTGGGACAAAAGGATTATATTTTGAAATAAGATATGAACCTTCTTGGCATTCTGAGTGGTACCTGCTTTTATACATCATTTACGCCCTTTTAACACCTTCTGTTTGATGGGAATAAGGGGAGAACAAAGCAGACAGTGCTATTTCTCTTTACCTTTGAAGCTAGATTAACATTCTTGGTGGAATTAAAAATCCCAACAATGTATTGTCTGAAATAAATGGTCAAACAATGTATATGGAAATGGTTGATCACATGATTGTAAATGGCAGCTAAGTTTGAGAAGGAAAAGGTAAGCCAAATGGCCACTTGTGTCATCTTCTGTAAGGGTACATGTGTCTGGTCTGTGGAGAGCTTTGTGCAAGTGAATCTACAACATATGCACAGCTAATTATGGGAGTCTCAGGATTGTTTCTTTACAATTGTTGTGCATGGCTGTTATTTGTAAGCAAATTGAAGTCGTAAGTTTGTAAGCAATGAAGTTCCCTTATCACAATTCAATGGATGTTACATTTTTGAGAAACATTTGATGTGATTATCATGCTGTTCCCCTGTGCACTGGCTTTCTACCTGGCAGCTCATGTGCTGGTTATCATTTGTGCTTCCCAAATTGCAAAAAGGTGGTTCAGAAAAGGCAGTTAGGAAACTTGGTGTCAAGAAGCTGCTTAGGGCAGAGATTGTGTCCTTTAAGGAGTAGGGAACACAGATGTGTTTAATATGGGGTTTGTACATTATGCCTTTCTGGACAGAGTTTCATTGCCTACCAAAGCAGCAGAGTGCTTACCACCACTGCCTGTGGTGGGTTAAGGTGCTTTGTCTTTTGGAGACTGGAGGCTATGTCTGTGCAGGGTAATAAAGTTTAGGCAATGTACTTGTCTGGGTGAACAGGCTTTTTTTTGCTGCCCAGAAAAGCTGCTGCCTGTGAACCTATAATGTTGATGGGTGACTGCTTACTCTGTTCTGAGGCAGAAGGGTTCTGAA